ATTCGCGCCATCGCCAACCGGATATCTTCATCTAGGGTCCCTGCGGACGGCCTTGTTCAACTATCTTTTGGCTAAGCGGACAGGAGGACAGTTTCTGCTACGAATTGAGGATACCGATCAGGTGCGGCGTTAGAACACTTTATCGGTCGATCGCGGAGGCTGATGGACGAATGGATATAGAAACGCACTATTCCCGATGCTGAACAGAGGCTTTATGAGGATCTCCAATGGGCTGGGCTGCAATGGGACGAAGGTTGGCATTCGTTCGGAAACACAAAGTTGCTCGGAAGTTGACGTGCAGTTTGTAGGTCCTAATGTTGGCGGTCCCTACGGCCCGTATAGACAGGTGAGGCTCTCCAATACGCTTATCGATCTATCCCCAAAGAACGCTATACTAAGTGGTTTGTCTGCAGTCCGAGAGAACAGCCATCTATCGTACCCACGCTCATGATCTGATAAACAATGGACACGCATACCGATGCTTTTGCTCTGCGGATCGACTCGATGCGTTCGCAAGACATCGTAGTCAAGCCGGACTACCCCCTGGTTACGATAGAAAATGTGTGGAGATATCAGCCGAGGAATCCGAAGACAGGGCAGCCAAGGGAGAGGCGCATGTGGTTCGGCTGAAGGTGGAAGGATATCCCATGTTCGAGGACATTGTTTATGGGAAGACCGGCCAGAACCGCTCGCCAAACAAGCTGGACTTGATTGATCGGGTGTACGACGACCCCATCTTGATCAAATCGGACGGACATCCGACCTACCATCTCGCCAATGTGGTTGATGATCATCTCATGAAGATTACCCATGTTATCCGAGGCACTGTGAGTTCCTAGGAGATTATCTCGGAAGTGACTTGCTAATCTACTCGATTACAGGAATGGATGCCCTCTACCCCTCTGCATGTCGCTTTGTACAATGCTTTCAAGTGGACGCCGCCCCGTTTCGGCCATGTACCTCTTCTGGTGGACAAGTCTGGGCAGAAGCTTAGCAAGCGGAATGCCGACATTGATCTTACCTCTTTCAAGGATACGCAGGGAGTGTTCGCCGCTACCCTGGTAAACTTTGCCGCTCTGTTAGGCTGGTCGCACACTCAAAAGTCAGACATCTTCAGCCTTGAAGAGCTGGAGCAAATTGTATGTTCGGCACTTTTTTCAAGTTCTTAAGGCGCTACGGAACAGGCATTTAACTCATTTTTAGTTTAACCTCAAAATCACTAAAGGTAACACTGTTGTTGCCTTTGAGAAGCTTTGGTTCCTACAGAAGGCGCACGCACAGCGCTTTGCCACAAACGGTGGTTCCGAGTTTGAAGAGATGGTTTCCAGAGTCTCTAGGGCTGTGGAGGAGACATGCCCTTCACAACAACTGTACGGCCCCTTCCATTCAGCTCCATTATGCCCGAGTCTGACACGTAAACTATAGCGCACCGATCCTTCAATCTCGCTCCCTAGCGGAGTATCTTCCTCCTCTCCTCCGTGCAGACGCCAAATCTTACACGAATGCATCAGAGTTCGTCCAGCGCAACTCCACTTTCTTCGCCACTACTCTTAATAGACCCCCGTATACCCCAGCTACTTCCTCCAGCAAGTCCCCATCCCAAGCTGTCCCCATGACAGCCCTCCACACAGCTGCAGCAGCCCTCAGCCTTGTCCCGGAAGCCCACTGGACCATTGAAACTCACAAATACAATATCACCTCCTACGATGGTGCCTCCTCCATCCTCCCTGAAGAATCAGACGCGGGCACTTACGGATCAACCGAGGAAGCGGAAAAGGCCCGAGTCGCTGCCGACAAGACTTTCAAGAAAGAGCTTTACCACTATCTACGATGGGCACTGTCTGCCTCCGCACCGGGACCAGGTATCCCTGAAGCTATGGTGATTCTGGGCCGTGCCGAGTCTTTGCGACGACTTGAAGAGGCGCGGCAGATGACTATGGGCTTGGTGAATGAGTCCGCAGGACCAACTAGGGTGGCGAAGGGCGCCAAATCTAGTGAAAATCAGGACAAAACCTGGATGGGTTCACTTGCTCCTAAGTCATAATTCCCGTCTTTGTATGATTTATTCGATCTGATGTATACTACATGTACAATTCTTTTCCAGAGAATTACTGTAAATTAGCTCTATTCAATGAAGGGTCTACTTCATTCCCACGTCGATAACCATTCCATATCTTCGTAAGATTAGTCCACAAATACGCTTCTCAATTTCCTAACCTTCCTACTTTGTTCCTGCTACCTTGTCCTCCAAATTATATGTTCAATATAGGTTAAACATACAAAACATTAGAATATTAAGGTATCCAGATGATTCATAATTGAATACTACATTCTTGATAACCCTATAACAGAAGAGAGGCCAAACAGTCATTATTTCCCAAGGCTAACCCTACCATAGGGACCAATCAACGTGAACGACTTCACCGGGGACCTCACACGCAGATTACATATTCCCATATTGAAAGTAGTATCTCTATTACCATGTCGAACAGCACTCTAAACAGAGTCCCTATAATAGATAGAATGCTTCAAGGATATCAGGGGATCAAAATCGAGAAAAGAAGTGTAGGGCATGTGCTGAAACATACCCTTTTAGCTGATTAAGTGTAATTCTTCCCCTTCTTGTGCATCTAGTCAGCAAATGATACAACTAACATTGTATAGGAAGCAGAAAAGCACGAAGAAGTATATGACGTGGTCTTGCATAGTAAATATCTTACGACAAGACCATCTGTCGGGGCGTAGCATTTTTTCGCCACAAAGGCTGCGTGGCAGTTTCACAGGGCCAAAGACCTTAAGGACAAGAGTCTCATGAAGGATACCGATCTTACCGAGCTATTAACTCGATAATGAAGGTATCCTTTTTATGAAGCGGCAACACGTTGTGCCAGGTGCTGGTTACATTCAAGAGGCCTTGTGAATCTACTTACCCTGTCCGATGATATCGGAGCTTTTCAAGTCTGTCCATAATAATCGAAGCCACCAAGGCCTTGACAAGTGTCTTAATGCGCTAGATTGTATAGCTATTCATTGCGAGACGCCATCTTGCCAATCATCAGAATTGGAAGAACAATCGCTAGGATATCCTGGTAGCCGAGAACCATCATGTATGGCAAAATGTGTGGGACCAGTCATCTTGCAAGAGCAATGGACCCACACGACTCCCTTAGTCTATACCTACATGTGCTATTGCCGGCACTCCTTGAGTGGTCAGGTTCTCACCTCTTGATGCTCTGAGAATCAAAGCAACCCCCAGATTGTCTTCTCTTCCATTGCTATACTGAAAAGCCTACCCCCTATCGATTATTTAACACTTTTACTCCTAAACGGTATGCATAAGGAACACTCCATGGTGCCTGCTCCGGGCTCTTTGTAAACGAGGACCTATACCTACCCAATATCGCTGTTGACATCTCACCTTGCGAGCGCTTCCACTACTCGTTACTTCCCTCGTTATCCTATCTTACGATAACAGCTCCGTCTAAGCTGCTTACCCCAGGATCCCCAGACTAGGACTATACTCTAAGAACACATTACAAAGCTGTGAAGCGTCACGTCCATACCTCAATGCCCCCGTGTGCAAATACAATCATGGACATCCTGCGGACGCCGATATGATAGTAGTCAATCGCGGATAAGTCGAGCGCCACGCGGTAAACACCAGGGATACTTACTTATATCACCCTACTCTTTATGGATGGCCCCCAGCGAACACAAAGCTATCCGATGCCTGGACATTTATAGCAATATTATTTGCCACAGTCAAGGGCAAAGTCTATGAATGGCCAGCAGATTTCGAAGCGAATAGTAACCTCTGGAAATGCAGAGTTCCAGTCGGGCAGCTAGTAGTTATCGACCCCAATGATAAACAGTGGGTCGAAGTTTTACAAGTGCTAGTATGCCTTCATCAGTGCGAAACAAGCAAAGATATACTCGTAGTTATGCAACTATTATCCTAGGAGCGGATACCAATATGGTCGAGAGTGTTGTCCATGATACGGAGGTTACATGTTATCTACTTTCTAATAAGCACCTTAGTTTCCTGTACCCATATACCTGATCCTTTTAAAAGTGCTTTGTAGAGTGTTCCTGCTTTTTAGGCTTTTCCCCATGCGTAGTCATATATTACTGAAGCCGACATTCTAAACTTAGCTCCATGGATAGCTATGTCAGCCCCTTTTAGTGTCTGCTTAAAATTAAATAGCTTTTTAAATCTGGCTTCTAGCTTCTTCAGCTAACGACTTTGATACTGCCACTGTAACACCTGACATACCGGGTATATACTTCCCAATAAGAACAAGAATCATGAACGGGATCCACCGCCCATGGCTTGCAATACACAGTGAGGTTATCGCAGAAATCGAACGTCTCTTAGCTCAGTTCCCCGAGAATTAACTGGTCACTCACTTGGTGGCTCGTTGACATACCTCGCCTATATAGTCCTCCAGCAAAACTTCCCCGGTAACAATATCACTGGTTATGCTCTAGCAGCGTTTCCTATTGGCAACCAGGAATTTGCAGATCTTGGAGCTATACAAAGAGGCGACATGTTTCGAGGAAATAGCAAGGGTGATGGCACACCTGTGGGTTATTATCTTTACTTTTGTCAACTTCCAGAAACTGTACAAGCGCGAAGTTATACCAATATCTACAGAATATGAACGCTGGCAAGCCATGGAATTTCAAGCACTATGGTATAGTAAGACTTCGCCCTGCCTAGAGTATAGGTTATCCTACTTACATTATCAAGGAATACTATAGTGATGGTTCAAGAGAAGGAACTATCCAATGTCGCGGAAATCAGGATCAAGGTTGCTCGGCAGGGAACGGGCTTCATATCGCGACATTGACTCATTTTAATAGCTTTGGTGTCGAAATTGGTATATTGGGTTTGAACTCTGGGTGCAATTAGGCACTGTCACATTGAAATTTTTCCAATCGAACATTCAGTTATGCTGCCTTTCTCATAAATTGTGTTTGCCCTCAAAAGGCCTTGAATGCTACATCGTCTTGCATTTTTCTTCCAGCTTCTGAAGAACAATATGGGACAGTCCATCGATATGTCCGGCCCCCATGATCTCTGGGATCCCCATCTCGATCTGGAATGCTCGTTGGATCCAAATACGCATCTCAGTCATAACTAGGGAATCCAGATCGACTTGATGAAAGGGCTGTTGAAGCCCTATGCTGTCGCCACCTGTGGAAAACGATTTCAATATTCGTACAATATCCTGGTGAACAATGCCTAAGGCTGTCGGTGTACCAAGAAACTCCGGGTCTTCGAATGCTTTTCTTAACAGTGTGGGTATCTCACTGAAGTCACTGGTGTTTCCACATTTTTCTATCCCTTTGGAAAATAACAGCCTCATTCGTATATCCCGGTCGCAGAGTATAGTTGGACGATGCGGGTCATTCGCGGGCGATAACCCAATAGCCATCTGGCTCATACTAGCCCGTTCGCTCTGCTGGGTGAGTGAGAGATGAATCGCTTGGAGCAATTCATGCTCTGTAATAACTTTATAACCCTGAAATGCCGTCTTTAAGGCTTGGCTGTTTTGGATGCTTTCTGAGACATATCCTACATCCCCGACTACCCCGATATCGATGACTGACGCTGGGAGTCCAAGAGAGTGGCGGTACCGAACAAATGCATCCATGAACACATTAGCAGCCGCATAGTTAGCTTGACCACGCTGTCCTAGGATCCCGGATATTGAACTGAAAAGTAGGTAAAATTCGAGACCTTCAACCTGCCTCAGAGCATGATGTAGGTTCCACGTGCCAGTCAATTTTGCTTCTAGTGCAGTACGCCATTCGTTGTGAGTCATCTGTGGAAATGATTTATCCTAAATCTTGAGTTAGTTGCTTGAAAGATAGATCGTGTTATGCTCATTCTAACAAATTATGCGAGACAGCAAGAGTTCACAGAATGCCGAGAGACGAGCAGAATGAGAAGACTACCTAGGGAACCCGTACCTTGAGAGACATTGCCATATGAAAGATTCCTTTCAAGGGATAGACGCAGCTCTGAAGAGCCTTCTGTACATCCTTCCCGCACTGCCACACTCCCTTGCACAACGGTACAGCGACAGCCCTGTGCCTCTAACTCGGATATGAAATTAGCGTTCCTAGTAGACCTAGACAGGTATACTATTTCACGCGCTCCATTGTCAACCATGCACCGGGACATAGAGCGGCCGATTCCACCAAGCCCTCCAGTTATCAGGTAGGACGCTTGAGGGGAGAACTGGTATAGCTGAGCATCTGGCGAAGTTGGGAGGGCTTCTGGGTTCTCTGGCATTTGGATAAGAACCTTTCCGATGTGCTCTCCTTTCTGCATATGACGGAAAGCCTGTTCTACTTCAGTCGCGGGAAAGAACCGAATCGGCCGGATTGGTTCAACAAGCCCTTGTTGAATGTACTTTAACCCGTCGGTGACCACCCTATTCGTAATGATTAGCACTGGCCCTGTCCGATGGCACGAGGAGAACCTACTGCGAGTAAACTTCTGGATGCTCCAACAAGACCTTGTCCAGGCTGACACAGATAAAAGACCTATTTTCTAGAAAAGACGCCAGGCTCAAAGAACCATGACCCATAAGATCTCTTTTCCCAATTTCAATCATTTTTCCAAACGGTGCAACACATCTCCAGGATGCATGCAGTAGCTCTCCTGCTAGGGAATCCAAAACGACGTCAACTCCTCTGCCTTTCGTTGCTTTCATCAGATCAACCTCAAACGATTGACTATGAGGGTTAAAGATTCTGTCTATTGGAATTCCGAATCGGTTGTTCAGATATTCCGCTTTAGTGTCACTCCTTACTGTCGCATATATCTCCGCACCTTGCATCTCGCTAATAGCTATTGCTGCAAGGCCCACACCGCCGCAGGCTGAATGTAGCAGTATAGTCTGAAATAGTTAGCTTTTCAGGTGTTAAACACAGAGGGCTCGGGCTCTGTATATTCTCATATTCTCACCTGTCCTTTCCGCAGGCTTCCCTGGTATAAAAGACCTAGAATAACAGTTCCGTAAACGCAAGGGAAGGCCGCGGCATCCGGGAGGCTCATGCTGTCAGGAATTGGGATACATGCATGAGACAGCACGACTACTCTCGTGGAGAAAAGCCCTTCTTGGGCCATGACGATGACCCTTTGGCCAATGTGATGCGGAGAGGAGGGTCCAGTCTACCGGATAATGCCAGATGCCTCAAAGCCTACTTCGACATTTTCTCCAAAGGTTCCCAGAGCTTCTAAAACATCCTAAGCAAAACAAGATTGGTCAGATTTCCCATCGAATCAGGTCATGAGCATCAAATAAGATCTGCTTTGTATCACCTACCTTGAAATTAAGCGCACTATAATGGATATCCACTAATACATCAGCTCCTTGTGGCTCCTTGCGCCAGTCAGACGCCCAGTGCAGAGTGCTCAAATCGCCAGGGACTCCAATTGATAATTTTCTGATATCCTTGGACCTTCGGTTTTCTGAATGGCATTCGGACGCGTCTGATGGATGATAACGGCTAATGTGGGTTTTGCCGTCTTGGTAGGCAAACTCGAACTCCCTGGCTTCCTTAGTATGATCTTTAGCCGCCAGTGTCTTTGTATACACCAGTAGCAGTGCCTCTAGAAAACCATCATCGAAAGTGTCTGCCTCAAGTGTAGCTAGATCTATTCCAAGTTCGTTTCTCACCGTGCGAGCAATACCGAGACCAAGAGCATACCGAGGGTCTGAGCAGCTCATTTGAACAGTCCGCGTTACCCAAAGATCCCTGCAGATTCGGCTCTCTCAAGAATGTTCTTGAATTCTTGCCGTCTGGACTCTGACATATCGTCAAAAAATGCATCTTCAATATCTATAAGTGAGATGATTGGTTTCTTGCTTGGTACGTGCTCTGTCTGATTCAACTCTGACAGTTGGATGGTGTACCCAGCTCGCGAAAACCGGTCTTTGACCCTCTGCACCATGTTACCTTCTTTGCCGAGACACAGAACCTTAATCTCGGGTGCGATATTAGGTTGCTGCATCTTCGTTGCAGTGATGATTGCACTTGAATAGAATGGTCTGTCCTGATCATAGACCACTATATCTGTGCCAGTGAATCCAGTGTTCCTCAGCTCTCGATCCCATCTTTCTGGAGTAACATAAGGCTCTTGAGCACGGTTGTCATTCTCTCCTACCCACCAGCCCGGAAAGGTGCCCTAACAGATGAGCTCAGCCAGCTGCTTTTTAAAACAAGCTCATAGGGATTAGGTGAAAATAGGCCTACCATGACGTAATTAATATAACGCATCACTAAATCTGTTAGACCAATGTCCTATCCTTTGACCTTAGACCCTAATGATATCAACCCACCTGGGCAGAGCTCTACGATGAGCAGCTTTCCACCTGGCTTTAAAAGTTTGTAGACGTTTCTCAGTGTCTCTGATAACGAGGGCGTTGCGTGTAAAACCTTCAGTGAATTAGTAACAGCGAGGTTAACTCTGGGCAACTGGGACTTACGTTTGACGCTGTGATCACATCATACTCATCTGCAGCAAATCCTTGGGAGAGAGGATCCTGACTTATGTCCAGAGGCAAGAATTCAAGGTTTGGGAAATCACGGAATCGTTCTTGGGCGGCAGGGAAGAATCCCGGAGATATATCTGTGTAGGTATATTTTGAATATAGATAAGTTCCGGATGAGCAGCTCAGTGATTTGAGACCATGCTCCGTGAAGCCTCCGGTCCCACTCCCAATCTCGAGTACCTTCATCCCCGGGGCCGTGTATCCTAGTGTTGGGAAAAGCGAGGAGCAGTCGAAAGTCTGTTGAATTCCGCTGTACAAGTCCTTTAACCCATCGTCGGCGTATAAAAGCTCTATAGAGCTAATCTTGCCTGTAAGAAATGGTATGATGTTGCGGAAGACTCGGAGAAGTAAGTCATACTTCCATGTCTCCATTTTGCCTGTAACAGTAGCTATATGTTCTTCGATAAGACATAAACTGGTAATGGAATCACTATTTGCCCAGCTCATCGCCCTGGGGATTAAGGAAGACCCTTGTAGCTTTAATCTGTCTGCCTCGATCTGTAACCAGTTGGCGAAACGTTACGTGTACAGCAGGTTGGGAGGCTTCAAGACTGACTTCACCTGTGCATGGTCGACCTACGACCCTCCTCTGTAGGAGGAAATGGTGAACTTATACCATTGTGAATTCTCGAAGTCTGTAAGCGCGGCAATGTTGAAGCTTGTAACCATGTCAACCACTGTCTCATCTGATAGAACCAGAGGTTCCTTGCTAAGGAGATGTCTGATTGTATAGGACATAGAGCCATATATTTGCCTGATAGCTTCATCCACAGCTGCTATGTATCCGGCACAGGGAAATATGATGCTATTCTGAATTTTATGGTCCTGGATCCAAGATGCACTTCGAAGAGACAGTCGATTTCGCCACACCGGATTGGAGGATGTAGATTCCGGCACACGAGAGCCTAGAATCTCATGATGTGGAAACTGTAGGAGTCACCAGTTCCGTGCCACGTGGCTTTCACTCCAGAAAATCTGCTCATGGTTCCATTTGTATGAAGGGATATCTGTCAGGACATTTCCTGTCCCATTGATAGCGAGAAGATCAACGGGGATTGACTGTAAGTGTAGATGACCTACAGCCCTGAACAACCCTGTTACGGGACTGGTTTCTCTAATGACTGTTGGAATGTAAACGTTGGTATTATCTTTCGATCTGCTGATTTCTCGCAGAGGAGCGGAAAGGACTGAATGGGGACCAATCTCGAGAAAGACGACGTTCTCATCATTGGGTGAGGCTTTCAACATCTTCAGGACCGCCCCGTGAAATCGGACAGGGGACTCCAGATTTTGACGCCAATATGCTGGACCAAATGTAATTCCATTTGTCTGTACCTCTTGCTTGACACTTGAAAAGAGTGGCCTTATGGGAGCTTCCCGTGCCTCAATCGAGCCCAACAGAAAGCGCTCATATGTAGTTCCAATAACACGCATATGATCTTATTGAGAATTAGTTATCAGTGCCACTATTAATGGATAGGGGTCTAACTCACGAGAATGATAAGCCACAGGTACATTCAGCATCTTCCATCTAACACTAGGCATATCAACCTTTATGCGATGTAGCACACCCTCTAGGTATTCGGCCAACAAATTCAGAGGACGTGCTAGTGCAGACAAAGAAAGACCCTTGGGACCTTGGCTTAAAAAAAAAAAAAAAAAAAACAAAACTATTCTGTTCGTACCATTCGTATCTGTTTAAAAAATTACAAATGCCTAGGGCCCCAGGGCTGGAACAAAATAGGAAAGAATATAGATACGTTTCGTGAAATAAAAGCCATTATCTTTCAGTGTAGTCACAGACCTTGCAATTAAGGTAGGCAGCAAATCTACTGTAAGTACACTTGCATCTCTTTAAATCCACAACTAAGTTTGAAACGCACATATTCATCGATGCGACTAGAGCCGTCCGAGTTGACTTGGCCATCTTCCATCTCATCCATGTCCCGAATAAATTTGTCGATATACTCACCCGCGCCACTCAGATAGAGAATTTTCGCAATAGCATGATGAACCTTCAGAAAATCAACAGAAGGATGGTCTATTTTTTGGTCCGGTGTAAGGTAAAGCGTACGGGTAACTGGAAGCTGTATAATGCGAACAAATTGGTTTGGATTCGCATAGTCGATCTTGTACTGGTGGTTACTTAGATGCTCAAAAGCGATCTCAAAATTACCAAACAATGTGTGGGCATCCTTGGTCAAAGTGAGTGCATTCATTGGTCGGTCAATGTCGGTCCCACTGATGAGGGGAATAATGGTAGGATTGAACATATTGAGAATCTTGTGTGCCATCTCCTTAGACTCGGACCAGGTAGACTGTAGGTAAGAGGTCAAAGATGGGGATCAGTAAATGTACGTACTAGCTTCTGTTCTCCGCCATTACTAGTGAGGGACATAAGAGAGTGTGGAAATATATGTGCTACTTCCAGATATGCCATCTCATTTCTCTCCGGCAATAAAGACTCTCCGTCATCGTCTCTGAGATTGTCCCCATCGTTTGTGAATCGTTCCTGAGCTTCGTTGACGAAAAATTTTCGAGTTACGACACATCTATGACGGTCGCGTTCAAGACAGTCATCTCGTAAAGACTTGAGGCGTTGTGGAGTGCCAATACCTCCTCCTTCAGAAAGTTGAAGACGAGAAAGAAGGCCTGGCGTGTTATAAGGGGTTTTTAAAGCTAAAGCCTTCACTGAATAATTATCAGCATCATGCGTATTAGGGCAGGTGCATCGCAACATACAGGGTAAGAAGAAATTGTCCATCAATGTCTTGGCAAATCTGATTAGTCCGTCACGGAGAGCATCAGTATCTTCGGTGGTCCATGTAGCGAAACTGCCCAGGCGAGAAAGACTACGAGTGAGGTTGAAATCATTAATCTTCGAGAACCCATCCAAATGTTCCTCAATAAAACAGAAAAAAAATCTTAGAAAGCTGTCCTTATCGGAAAGCTCATTTTTGACAAGACGAACAAGCATAACTGGTTTTAACCCTTTGCCGATCGGGTCTGAATGTTCGAACTGCTTGACGAGACTATCGAAAAGTCTCATCGCTGCATCATGGTCTTCTCGCGTCAAGGGTTGAGGTAAAGGAACGATGACCCCTTCCAGTGACATACCGTGTCGGCGATGTGGAGCAGCCATTCAAATTGGTTGTTGCTATGGGCGAGGTGGTCTGTTCTAGTTAATGATTGACTTGGAGTTACTCAGGTGAAAAGTGTGCTCTTATATAGATATAAAGCCCATCTCAAGCGACATTACTATAGCAATGGCTTCGGTTTCGGCTTTACCATATTCCGCTCCGCAATTCCTCTCGGCCCTTGCCAATCAGGGTCGGTAGTCTGGGTGACACCTGAGCTAGTGTCTTATTAGCATCTTGTACATTGATGCCGTTTCTAGTGCATAACCGACTAAGGTAGTATTGTTTCCCCTACTTGATAATCCAAAAACATTTGAGTTGCCTAAGTTGTACCAAATTTAAGGTCTTACGCCTTTCGTTGCAATTTTAGTCATAATGACTGAGTGGTATTAGTCCAAGATCCCTGAAGTGTGTAGCATGTTAATTCCTGGTACCGGGGGGGGGGGGGGGGATGTAGTGTTATTGACGAAATGGTGTACATCCAAGTATGTATATTGAAGCTGCTACTCTACAGTTCCCCTACAGCAAAAAGGCAGTGGGCATGGTTTCCCTCTGTATAGCTTACACAGTTGGCTTAAGTACGGCTGAGCGGACGGGAAGCCCTGTTCTCCACACCCTGTGGTCGTATGTGCTTGCTTCCTCGCATCAAAGGCTTATATAGAGAGCTTGGGACCCTCCTATTCAAACCTACTAGTTAACGGTGTTAGTACGTATTACTCGATAAGACAAGAAATAACGTCAAAGACTATTAATATCTGAAAGGTTAAGGATACTAGGGAGAACCCCACAGCTAGAAAAACTAAACGATTTCTTCCCCTATAACCTTTTGACATAAAGTACGGCAGCTTGCCAGGCCCGCGCAACATACTACTCTTAACGCGAAGAACACGAAGGGCTAAACACCTCGCTTCCAGTCCCATCGTACAAAGGGGAAATGGAATACGAATGGTGCAGGAAACAAGGTGACGAGAGCTCTGAATTCTGCCGGGAGCCGCCGTACGCAGTGGAGGCTACACAGCTGCATAATGGGCATTCTTCTATCCTGGACTAGAAAAACATGCACTGATAAGAAGAAGGTATAAAGCACCCTTCACTCCATGTTGCTCGTATTCACTTCGACATTATCTGGGACATGGGCTGTATTCATGCCTTCTCTTGTGGAGCAGTATCTATGCCGTTCTCAATCAAACACCATATACTACAACGAGATTACAGCTATTAAGAACTTCAAGTCTATAGATCATTGATATATTAGCGGCCTTTGGGCTGAATCAGTTTGCTGGATGAAAGAATTCATCATGCTGGCCGAGGAAGATCTCGAGACCAGTGGCTCCGTGAAACGATCGTTGACCACACAACGGTCTATTTTCTGGAACTCAGAAGAGTCTCATCTGGCTTGCTGTGTTAGAAGGCGCCCCATGAGGCAGAAAGACATAAAAGCCGAGGATTTGTTGTCTGTCCTTCTCCTCTCCCGGTACAGTAGAGATCATTAGAGATCATGCTGGAGCCGTGCTTGTTCGTGAGGGCCTCCTGGCCACATACGTTTCCCGTTATTAGATCTCATACTACATCTTGCAATACATCTCGCACCCTAAGACCAAATACAATGCTTCCCCCCACCCCCAACGACAGTGGGGAACTTTATGGCCCTAAATTCACTGCAGCTAGAGGTAAAACTCGGCACGACATCAAGATGCAACAAGTGCCATCTAACCAGCGCAGCATCCTCAATTTCATGAGGCGTGCTGAAGAAGCCGGTTATATTACAGCCGGAAAATACTCTTCTCCAATCGAAGCTGTAGCGGAAGACGCTAGCGACTCGAAGAAGGCTAAACGTATCAAGCAAGAGCCCGTCAAGCATGCAGACAATGATTTATCCGTGAAGATCGACGAAGAGCCTAAATATACCCTCCACGATATCCCCGAAATGAAAGTCCCCTTTAACCCGGAAGAATGTGTCGGCGTTACCCTTAGGGGCAAGTCGCTAGAAGATCTAATCAAATACAACGAAATGGAACTATAGATGGAGGTTATGCCTGGCTTTAGAAGACAGAGCCATAGGGGTGTCACGTCTATGGCTTGCAATACATGGTGGGGTTATCGCAGAAATCCATCGTCTCTTAGCTTAGTTCCCCGAACGTTTCCCTGAATTAACCGGTCACTCACTTGGTTGCCTTAGCTGAAAAGCAGGCAACCTATTAAAATGGCAGATTTTATATCGAGGCGCGAAGCCAAATGGACCTATCACAATCGGCCTCATACCGCTTGTGGCTTACCAGTAGTACAGCAACCGTCACCTCCTCTGAGACCTCCCCATGGTGAGAACCACCCCACTTCATGAGATGTGGAGTGCTTGCTAGGTGAAAAGTGTACCTGTTCCCGCACAAACGTGAAAAGGAGAATGTCTGCACCATACCGAGTATTAGGAGTTACCAACGAGATATCAGGGGAGGTAATGGACACAGCAGCCAATCTCGAAGAGGATGGGGATGACTACGAACAAACGCGCTTACTGTCACCACAGCCCGCGTCTTCAAATAGGTGAGTCTTCCCAAACATAACACCAACATAGCAGCTGTACACTCAACTCTATTGACAACAATAAGCAAGGCCGGATAGATTCGCAAAGGTTGAATACCTATCTCGATACATCCCCGAACTGGACCCAAAAAATGCTCGGGCAAAGACAATGAGAGTTAAGATGGCGAAGAGAACAACAATGCTTAAGACGCAAATGACAATAGCCACCGTGGTCATGATTTTCAATCTCAGTATCACAATTTGGGCGGTTCTGAGTTATCCCCCGGACGGTCGAGGCGTGGGCACATTTTCCTTTAGCGATTGCTCTAGTACCACCGCCCTCAATAGCGCGTTGCATGTGGCCCTCAACATTATATCATCTCTTTTCCTCGGAGCCGGAAACTACTGTATGCAGATCCTCGTTGCACCGTCGCGTGATGAGATAGCCCAGACACATCTCAAAGGCTCAGCACTAGAAATCGGGGTCCCAAGCATGAGGAACTTGAGGTATATCAAACGGAGCCGAGTCGCCGCCTGGTTTGGTATCGGTTTCATTGTAGCACTTCTGCACTTCTTTTGGAATTCTGCGATTTTCACATCTTTGCCAATCGTGGTGATCCCACGCGCTGTAGCCACAAACGACTTTCTTCCGGTCGGATATAACTGGACAGCCTCTGACCCGCTATCACACTTTTCGTGGTGGAAACCTGCTCCAGGATATGGCGAAGCATCGAAGAATACATCAATGATATATTCTCTGCAGGATGGTGCCGCTAACTTCACTTATTTAGATACTGAGGCCTGTATCAAGCGGTATATCAATCCAATGACTGCCACCAGCTCTGTCATAATTGTCGCCCGGAACGTCAGTACGGTACAGAACAATGGCTCCTCCTTGATTGATGGATGGGTGTCTGGTTGGGAACCGTGGTCGGGATCTAGCGCTTGGATCTGTCGCGCATATCAGGATATCCACAAAGACAGGTTTTGCAATTGGGACTTCGCCAAATCCTTTACTAATGACTGGAGATTGTCTTGGCCGCGAGGGGTGCAAGTAGATCACTGCTTAAGTGCAGATGAGGGGAGTAGTCAGGATAGGTGTGGATTGCATTACAGCACACATATCCTGGCTATTGTTTGCGTCTGTACCTTTCTGGAGAGCCTCCTAGTCTACTGGACCGCCTTCCATCATTTCCGCAACACGAAAACAAAGGAACAGAAAAGGGACCATCACACTATGGTAACTATAGGTGACGCAATCAATAGCTTTCTCGAACATCCGCAGTCATACATAAATGAGCTAACCGATGAAGACGACGATGCATCCACATCTTATAGGCTAGGAGCTGTTCAGATTCAAAAGACGACTTGGCTGGTTAAGCCTCGTGTATCATGGTTCAAGGCTGTTAATATACACATCTGGGTAATCTCACTTGTATTGTAAGTCATGTCCCCAATGTTATTGCTCACGAACATGATCAACTCTAACATGCGCATTGATGTTAGGTTTTCTACAGGGCTAGCAATTACCTCATACTCTATCGGAAGTTCGATCGAGTGGATATCACAGAAGGGTGTTGATGTGAGCCCTGCAGCTCTGTGGCAGTATGGTTTCCAAGTAAACCCGGCCATGCTGGCTCGCGATATGGGCCCCCTGAACTCTATTGCCGCCGACGGACCTGTAATGCTTCTAGGCAACATCCTCATAGCCAATAGTCCGCAGGTTATGATTAGCTTTCTCTACCTCTTTTACAACAACATCCTCACACGTCAGCTCGTCAGTGATGAGTGGGTGCGCTTTCTCCAAGAAGAAGGAAAAAAGCCGTTACGGGTTTCTTCACCCGAGGGCATGCAGCGGTCATCCTACTTTCTCTCCTTGCCATTCAAATATTCAGTCCCACTTATGGTGCTGGCCATTCTCCTGCACTGGCTGATATCACAGAGTATTTTCCTTGTCCAGTCCAGCGCCTTCGCGCCGGGTAAAGACGGCGCACGTCTTCCTATGTACGACTACACTGCCCGAGGCTATTCTCCTCTTGGCTCCATAATGGCGATTGCCCTTGGCTTTGCTTTGGTCATTGCCTTGCTTTTGAACTCCGTATTTCGTTCTTATAGAAATATTCCAGCCAATTTTCACTTAATGGCGTTCAATAGTAGCGCTATTGAGGCTCTATGTCAGCGACCGGACGCTGATTCAGACGCGAGACTATTCCCAGTTAGAATCGGTGTTGCTGTGATGGATCCAAAACCCAGAACGAGTCCTAGTGCATTATCGGAGCCTTCCTACACGGCGGTTGTGTTTTCCACTGATACTACGCTTCAAGTACCAGAACATGGTGAACAATATGTACAGCCTATCCTCATCTGTGGTGAGGGTATCGGGTATAAATTTGTTTCCAGTGTTCGCAGATTAATGGTGAACGGTTATACCCTCATATGTAATGCTTGGGATTGCCTTGTTTCAGCGATAGTTCGAAACAGTCGGAGACAAGCGAGAGCAATGTGATGGTTCTTTGATGAGAATGGTTCTCCGTCTGGCCAAACTGGAGAAATATATATGTTGACCCGAAAAAAACAGCAACAATACTGTTTAAGGATACTAAATTATGTGGCAGGAGTTTCATGTAATATACTTTCATATGGCAAGTTATATATCCTCACTATGGTTAATACCCGTGACAGTAGGGTCACAGGATATAAATTTAATTTATATAGGAACTGATTCCAAAACCAAGAGCTCTCACTCCGCGACAAGAACACTGAAGAGGACCATGTTCCCCCAAATGGAATGATCCAATGCTATGGAACTACTATGCAGATGTCGCCAGACCAAAGGACAATCACCGACGTCCTAAACTTCCAAAACGGCTTTGATGGCCAGCGTAAGACTTACCATATTAATCGTTGCCAACTCTAACGATTATACAGTCATAGCTGTTCACTCCTATAATGACGCAGTTAAGCACAACAATGGTCCATCCTTTATGATCCCTAGTTATGTGAAACTCGGCAGTACCTACACAGTAGACTGGATATGGAACACAATAATAACGGTTGATAACAACTGGCTAGTCCTTTAGTAGCAGCTGTGACTTTTCATCAGTGCTAATGTAATTCAGATATACACCTCGTGTATGGATCTCGATATTGTGGCTACACCTGAAGTCATAATATCGAAACAGCCCATTGCTCTACCGTCCACCCCGTCTCAGCTCATCTGTTCCAACTGTATCTGTTCCAACTGTATCTGTTCCGTCACCTCAGGGTTCTCATATATCACCGGTTACTACTATTTCAGCGTTACGGATGCCTCCAGATCTAGGGCTAGGTCCGACTTACAGGAAACTCCTCTACCGAACAAAGTACCGCCCGCGTCAAGTCTTCCACCAGACTAAACTTCAAAGTTACTCGTTGACCGTCAACCTTGAGAGATCGCCATCCATTTACGGTTCGCCTCACATCCTCACATCGTTAATGTCTACGCCCCCGTCCATCTATACCAAATCCAACAATTAGCGGCTTGATCCATCCGGTTAAGGTTAACTTCAGTAATGACGCCTTCTTTAGCAAGAATTACTTGGTTGGCATACCTGGGAGCGGCGGTGAAATCAGGGAGCTAGCCAATCCGTAAGGAGCCCCATATATGTTGCTGGACAATGTTCGTCCTCCTGCTTTTATCGAAAGAACCACCAATAATAGACAGCTACTTAGATCGAGGGCAATCCACTTCTGTTCATTTCCCTAAGTTTCTGACAGGGAGCAGAGGTCATCACAACTTTTGTGCCATCCAGGTATTCACCAGGCTCCTTTTTCCCGAAAAATAGTCTTAATGCCGCAGGTATTTGCGAAATCTCAAGATACTTTAAAAGGAAAAGAAACCCTGTCCAGGAGGCTACATACTTGGGGGCTTGCATCACTTGCTCCTATTCCAATATCTAGAACCATTTCCTGCCCTTTCTATCCCCCACGAACAAACCGGGGGGAAATTATCACGCCGACTAGGTCAAAACCTAGTAGTCCCCGGAGACTACGATGCATATGCTCCTGATGATTTTAAGTTTTATCCAAAGGGAAGAAAAATAAATACCCAAAGATAACTTGAATAGACTCTATTAAACTGAGTGATAAGCCGTTTGTACGGCCGTATCTCTTCCCCTTTGGTGATATCTTCTCGGGGCTCTTATATGTCACCACGGCTCATAAAGGTCAAGATTGATTTCTATTTATCTTCTTCTGGGAGCCTGGTATATTTGAGCCCAATTAGTTTACTGACTTGGAAAGGCTCTAAAAGTAATTTTCTACCTTCGGCTCAAATATCGGTATCCCATCTACGGCATGGCTATATACAAGTGGTGAGACAATGACTGTGAAAGAGTCCTACTGGACTGCAAAAGGCGAGGAAGAGTCGGTAATATATGGAGACTCTCAATCGAATTGCATCGGGTCGTCATTGTGGAATGTAATAAGGAACTCGCGCATCTCATGGCCACCGCGACTGAAGAGAACCAACACCTGTATTCAGTGATAAGGACATAGCTTAGCTCGCGATGGGCACCAGTGTGGGGGATATTTCAAGACGTACGATTCCAACACAGACGGCGGAAGAACCCAAATGACGGGTGATGATAGCACGGACAACGAGCAAGAACTTAAGTTATGCAAAATGTGGACCACACTGGGTACATCGATGACAACAAGCCTCGGATTGCTTTTGCGTGGCTCACCCAAAAATGGGAGCACTAATACTACTTATACTGTACGGACAAGATCATTTCAAAGAACAGAATGTATTGTTAATTAACATAAGAGATCCAACAAACCATTGCGCTGCGCTGATATCAAAACAAATGAAAAACATGCTGTAACATTGTAAAAAAAGAAAAAAAAGAAAGAAAAAAAGAAAAAAAGACCAAGAGACAACCTCGCCAAACAATAAAGAAGGAGAAAAAAAGCACAATAGGAATCAAACAGAATGGCAAATTAAACATAAGTAGTGAAGGACTCGTCCAGTCAATGGCTATCCACGTCTACTTTTTCGGTAGAAAATGAGTTAATTATCAAACGGACAAACCAAGCATAATACAAGAAGGTAACCTGTCTCTTTGAACAGTTAGATGGTAGTAGAAAAAGCGTCGGCTCATTTCATTCGTTGTCGTCCCCATCGTTGCTGCAGTTGCCAACAAGTTTCGCGGGCTTAAGAGCAAAGATCACCATAAAAGAAAAAGCGAAAACATAACCAGGGTATAATCCCAAAATTTTTAACACAGAAATTAACGTCGGCGACAGAGCAACATCACTCGGATCGCCCAGGCCTATCAAATCACCAGAGAGCTCAACCATTATACAGCGTCCCCAGCCTAGTCAAGATAAAATTAAACATTGCGAGAGCAATCATAGAATCGTCAACATCGAGTGGTCTCGTAAGTCCGTCTTTTCGGAAGTGCCTGAGGTGCGCAAAAAACAAGAAAAGCCAAAACGATTTAGTTGAGCAATGGACTTCTTTTCTAGTAAGGCTCCAGGTCATCTGTCCATCCGGCATCACTCCCCGCTACACGGACGCCATTCGGGTTTACCGCTGGCTCGTCTGGGCTAACACTTCGGATGCCTTTGGGCTTCTTTCCTGCCAAGTCGTCAAGAGCCATTCGCTTGCCATGGGCAGCACGAAGCTTGGCATAGTAAACGTCACTGGCGTCAGCTTCAGACTCAGATCCACTGTCGAATGTCTCCCAGTTCTCCGACCCAGAGTTGCCCGTGTTGATGGTTGACGCATTTGACACTTGTCTCGGGGCCGGTGGGGGAGCACGCTGCAGATATGGATTCGGTCGCGGGTATCCCATAGAGTTTATGGACAAGGACGATGCCGAGGATTGTGTTGATTGAGAGAATCCCGTAGATCGCTGTGAGAAAGCTGAAGAGCTCATAAATGAGCGTTGGTTACGATCGTCATAAACATCTTCAGGGCTGACTGGCCGAACAAAAGCATTAGACAGTGCACTAGCACTTCGTGGAGGCTCGAACAAGTAGCTGCTTCGCTCATCTCGTGATTCTCCACCAGTCAAAGCTCGCATCCTTGGTGGCGGAGCACGAGTTGGGATTTTGCCGTTCATTGTGTTAGAGGAATAAAGGCCTGGAGTACCGCTGCGCGCGGGGGAGTTGCTTCCATGAGGCATATTACTCAAGGGGACGCGAGCGGGGATCTTCGAAGGAGACTTAGCACCGGCTCTAGATGGGGCTCGGGATGGCCCGATGGTGTTGTATTTCATTGAACCATTTCCAGTAGGGGTTTTTGTAGTAGACCGGGGGGGAGGAGGTCCTCTCATAACGCTGGCAGGGCGAGAAGGGGGCTGTTGCCTCATAGATCCTCCCCTCACGCTTCCTGGCCCGGCGGATGGTGTCTTAGAACGAGGTGGAGGTTTAGCGACGACTGGAGTGAGCTCATCGAGATATCTTTCTCCATGAACGAGGAACGGCCGGCCAAACTCGTCCTCGAAGTACTCCAGTTCTTTCCGCAGGTCCGCTTCCACTTTAGGCAGCTCCTTAGCAATCCTCTTCCTCATTTTCTCTTCTCTCAAAAGCTTTCCTGGATCACGTCTTTGTCCGCTGGTTCCACGCGCCATGAGACGAGATGCATCTTGGCTTGACACGGCCAGGGCCTCTCGGTCTGCGAGGAGGCTACGGTGCCTCTCTACGAGCTGCAATACTGAAGCACGCTGCTCCTTCAATGCCTCCAGCCGGGTAATTTCTGCCTCATGGGCTTCTAACAAAGCATCGCTGTAAACGTCAGAAAAGGCAGGAGTGAAGTCGAGCATTTCTTCTTCTGAGTAGTAGAGACTATCCCAGAGCTCTTGCAGTCGGCATCGCGCATCTTCGACAAAAAGATGTAGGTTCTGTTTCTTGAGTTCGTTGAGCCGCTCCAATTCTTCTTCAAATTCGTTGATTGTACGGAGACCACAGCCGCGGTTCGCCGAGAGGAAAGCTTTTCTGTCACACTCCTCAACTCCAAAGCGCTCCCAAAGTGCTTCCACGGCATTTCTGAGTTCTGCGATCTTGCGCTCCCGACTTCTCTTCTCCTCCAACAGCTTTTCTCGCTTTGCCTTCAGATGGGCCAGGTCGGATTGGTGAAGTCCCAACTGTTCAGGGGATTCTTTGTAGTGCTTAACGATGTTGGAATCGGTTTGGGCCTGAGGGGTCCCGAGCTCAGCCCAGAGCTTGATGATCTCTTCGCAAGTGGTCTTGACAAACTCGAAACGTCGCTCATATTCTTCGTAAACTCTTGAAAACTCGTCGTTCAAATCATCCACGTATTGGCGAGACAAGTTGAAACTAGGCGATATAGATGATCCTGGTGCTGTAGGGGGAAGAGCAATGGTAACAAAAGAAGCTTCGAGGTGCGATGAGTATGACTCGAGAGCCACAACGAGTTCTGCATGTCGTTAGCAAGCCATTCGATCATTGGCGACAGCATAACATACTCTTCACCTGTTCAAAGCGATCGTGATGTAATTTGCTGAGTGCATTATGCTTTTCGCGCAGGAAAGCAAGACAGCGTTTGAGAGGATAAGTTATACGCAAGTCATCGCGATTCAGCTGATACTCGCCATTGGCCTTCTCATCCTCTAAAGACTCCTCCATTTGCTCGATTGCAATGATGAGCTGTCGCGCCTCCTCTGTCATCTCATTTTTCTCGCTATTGATTCCGTTAACATCCGAGAGGCCTTTCCGTCAGGTTGAAACACCGGTAGAACTCACTTGTCAACAAGCTTGAGATGATTGTTTAGAGTATCGGACAGAGCACTGAACAGCTATAGTTGTTTCTTAGTATCAGTTGACAAACAAGGAAGTGTTGAGTAAGCCAACCTCCGCCTCTCGAGAGTCGCGCTCATGGTTCGGAACGCCGATCTCATCATAGATGCCATGTAGCTGAGCGACAATATTATTGACCTGGGTGGTCAAGTAGCTAGTGTCGACGGCCATCGCGTGTGCCCGCGCTTTAAGTTAACAAAAGAAATATAACGAGAGTATATCCACGCCTTTAAGGTTTCGTGATCATGTAGTCTCTGGCGGCGATGCGCCTTCAGCACTGCAGCTGTGAGACACGAAAATCCACCAGCGTGAATCTGCAACAATAGCAAACGATTGACTCAGAGGTCGGATGTCATCTGCGAGAACAAGGGGCTACCCGCAGGCTTTATGTATAGCTGAGCACTTGCAGACGTATGCAAGGGTAGAGAGGGGAAGGGGGCGTCAATCGAGGCAGTGATGCGATGGGATAGAACAATAATAATAATAGTGCCGCTCCCTCAAGATGCAGCCGCGATCGAGATTCCCTCCCGGCCCCTGTTGATTGCGTTCCGTTACTCCAGCAACAGTCCACGCAGCCCCTCACCGCTTTGTTCTGCCATAGCTCGACTCACCGCCCTCTCCACGTCTGGACTCCAACTGCTGCTTTGAAGTAGATCACGATCTGATAGATCAGACATCACCGAAGTCAGCCAGTTGTTTTAACTCCTCTCCGCAAATCCTTCTATAGACTACTATTTATCCTTTCTTTTCACCCCACAGCCCCATCACTCCTTGTTGCCCAAAAACCACCCATTCATCATCATCATCATCATCATGCAGAAGGCTGCACAGCAGTCTTGGGGTTCGTACTAAGCATTACCCCAATGTTATCAAAGACAACATCCATTATTAACAATTAGCTTCCTCCCACTCCAGAGCTCGAAAATGCCATCAGCCTCATAGATCCCCAACGAGACACCCTCTATCGGTACGATGAAGAAACACACAAAGCCCTCAGTGCGGAGCGCCCATGGGCCAGAGACCCCCACTATTTCAAATCGATACGGATCTCCGCCGTCGCGCTACTAAAGATGGTGATGCATGCACGCTCGGGCGGGTCCCTCGAAGTCATGGGCCTAATGCAAGGCTACATCCTGCCAGAAACCTTTGTTGTAACTGATGCATTTCGTCTCCCCGTCGAAGGAACAGAGACTCGAGTGAACGCCCAAGAAGAAGCAAATGAATACATGGTGTCTTATCTCCAGGCATGTCGAGATGCAGGACGGATGGAAAATGCAGTCGGCTGGTATCACAGTCACCCTGGTTATGGTTGCTGGTTATCCGGGATCGATGTCACCACGCAGGATATGCAGCAGCTCGGCGGGCCGTTTGTTGCCGTGGTCATTGATCCAGAGCGGACCATTTCGGCAGGGAAGGTAGATATTGGGGCTTTCAGAACGTTCCCTAAGGATTATACGCCACCCAAAGAAGAGCAAGAGGATGATGAGTATCAGACCGTACCGCTTAACAAAGCGGAGGACTTTGGAGCGCATGCATCCCATTACTATTCACTTGAGGTATCGCTTTTTAAGAGCGCTCTTGATACCGAGATATTGTCACTTCTGTGGAACAAATATTGGGTGGCTACTCTCAGTCAGAGCCCTCTGTTTACTACCCGTGATTATGGTAGCAAACAGATGATGGATCTTAGCCAGAAAGTTAGACGGGCCGCGCGTGGTATTGAAAGCAATCCCTCACGGGCCGGAACTACTGCTGTTAAGGATCAACAGTTGGAGAAAGTCGTGCGAGATGGGCAGCGAATTGTATCAGAGGAAGTGAAGGGCCTTCTAGCAGCCGAAGTCAAGATGAAGCTCTTCCAAGGCATCGGCGAGAATAGCAAGGCAGAGACATAAACAGCCATAGTTTCAAGTGAAACAGATATTACGAATGGTGGTACGACTCTATGTTGGGTTTAAGCTTCTACCGAGAGTTTTTTCGGTGTCAAAGGCGCTTCTCGGCCCATATGTATTAGATGCTCCTGAGCAACACGACGAATTATGACGAGATATCTTGGCTAAACTTGCGCATTTTTCTTGTACAATTTATTCTTATAGATGTAGCACATAAGACTAAAGATATATACCTTCGTAGTTAAACAGGTAGGTACAAGAACAGAAAGGAAGGACACATGGGGTGTACAAAGCTGGGACAACATACAATGTTATCCTATGTCGTGACGTATCATTATCCATCGTGAACGAGACCCCAGTCCCGTGGAAACCCTTATCATGAAGCCGGGGGAACCAAGACACGGACGACAATCTCATACAAAAAAAAAAAAAAGGAAAACAGTGTACAAAATGATCGACACGGTCAAGAATATACGCGGGTAGATGATAGGATAAAGAAAAACCAAGGGACTGTAAGACCGCCGAGGTGGTGAAGGCGGGAAAGAACAAAAGAAATAGTAAAGCCGTGCCGGGGTTAAGTTGGTAGCGTCTGAAGGTAAAGAGTGGTCCCGTCCGCAAAATCGAAGATAAAATACAATAAACAAAAACAGGTCGAGGGTATCACAAGCTTCCACTGCAATCGTTCTATCACATGCGATTCAAGTAGCTGTGGGGCGCTAAGTCGGGGGGTTCGTATAATATTCGAAGCCCCCTCAACTTGTCCTTTTTATTCTTTTTATTCTTTTTTTTTCTAATTTTCTCTTTCTTTGTTAGGCTGTCGATAGACCAAACTGGGACAAGATGCTCAGAATGATCAAGTGATCATATGGCGCCCGGGCCGTAACCTTTCGGTTTAGCCAATAGCATGGACATGAACGTCGCGTCATATGAGGTCAAAACAGCTTGAAGGGGACGTCGAGGAATCCTGGTGAGCGGCTAGAGCAAACGTGCACAAGCGCTCTCGAGCAGCGCAAGTATGTCTTGCAGGTCGACCCCAGGTAGTTTCCAACATGCCGCGTCATATAATTTGATAAGGCCGAGGTCGACTGATCCTTCTTTCGCACGGTCGCATAGATGGTAGACGGCGTCGTTCTAGTGAGTCGTCGTAAACGCCAGGGATGTTATCGCCGCCAATCACCTCGCATGGAAGCCATTAGTGTAGGTGATCGCTCGTGATAAACTTTTGTCGGGTTGCCGGCGGTACAACTCGGCACGTGCGTAGTGGATGCAGCGACAGGGGTCTCCACGTATCGCAATCTATACCCCGACGGAGAAACGGAGTTCGCCGGCTTACAGGAAGCCCGATTCAGACAGCAGTCTACGCGTTGGGGAAAACACAGTTAGTCATCATGTAATCAATCAATCAATCAAGACGTCCTTCAAAGAGAAATAGTATCTGAAAAAGATATGGGTATCGCCACACCAGGCCTAAACACCAAAGCAAACACACAAGGTCATGAAAAAGGGCATCAAGTGGGAAGGTGCACATGGAAAAAATAAAAGAAGGAAAAGCATTATCGCATCGACATGGCCAAGGTCGCAATAGCCAAGGTGCTCATGTCTCTACCTGCTGTAGTAGCATACCTCGCAATCTTCTCGTCCTCCCGTTCTCTGGGTTCCACTTCCAAACTCCGGTCGTACATGTCATGCACGTCGCCCGCCGCTTGTAAATTACTGAGAATGTAATCCTGCAGTTCAGGGACGGGCTGCAGGAGATAGGGGACGTTTTGATATTGCTGAATGTCTCGGATTACTTCCGCGGTTTTGGCGCGTTTGTTGAAGTTGATCAGCTCTGATGGCGTAAGAGATGGAATGCCGTCTTCGATAAAGGTCAAATCGGTCAAGTAAACACCTAGGGAAATTGGGTTAGTCCCCGCAGCTAAAAACGGAGGATAGAGGTGGGGTTTAGGTCGATCAGTCCTAATCTCATACCGAAGAATGGAATGCATGGCGGGTTTGCTAAGTGCAGAGTTTCACGGTATTCACCGAAGTTTTTCGTGCTAGCCATGAGTTTACGCATTTGCTCCAGAATTGTGGACGTGCGTCCACTAACTTGGCCCCATGTCCGGCCAAGTCGATGGATCGGCGCCGTTCCGAGGGCAGAGATAATAGATGTCAGTGTAGAGTAATTGTTCAGGGCACGGCATTTCTGATAGTTCTGTCAGCAATAGCCATCAATGTGGTGGGGAAATATCCATACATCTGCTACGTTAACGAAGTGCTTGATAACAACCACACGCTTCTTGACATCAGATTGACTGAGGATCATCTCCGCAACCCAATTTGTCAGCTGGTTGGAATGAAGGATGAGAGCTTTCACGTTAGTTGCAGGCTCCGGTTCGTCAGGCCCAACTTTCTTTTGCCACGTTTTATTCAGACATTCTATAGGTCGAATCTTGGAGTAAAGTCGTGATTCGATGATTGTCAGCTGGCGAGCAAACTCTGTTGGATCAATATCCAGAAATTTAAGCTTCTTCATATTCTTCGGGACAATAGGAGACGGGGCAGGAACCGCTTGCGTAGGAACAAGCCGCTTGACAGTCGTGTCCTGACCACGAAGACGTTGCTCGATAACCGTCAGCAACGGAGGCGAACCCGGAGTTTTCGTAGTAGCGATGGAATCCTTGGTGAAAGCATGGACACGTTCCAGAAGCTTCATATGCGCTTCATCATTTGGTTCCATCCAAAAGTTTTCAAACCAGCTCTTGAGGATGTTGACTATACGGAATCGAATAGGCTTTTGCTTTCTGTCAACCCACATCTGCATCTCTTCTTGGTTTAGACCGAACGGGGGTTGGATATTGAAGCGCTGAGTTAGCAGCTCGAAGAGCTCGGCGGCAGTAGTAAAGGAACGGTAGGTAAGGAGGAAAGTATTGTTGAAAGAAGCATCAAGTTTGTCATGTCGAGTCAGGTGTTCCACTAGTCCTGCTAGCGTGCCGCATTTCAAGGTAGGCACATCGTTTTTGGTATCGTAAAATACTTCACCTTCATGATCCATCTTCAAGAACCAAGGCGTTTCTTCCGGCTCCCGGACAGGTTCCCGGATTGGTTCTCGAGTGATTGCAGATGGCGGGGCTTGTCCGAAGAATCTCTGTGCCTTATCCATATTGCGTCGCACTTTGTCATGTGGGGGATTGACGGAATAAGAAGATGGGATTCCAATTGACTCGTCCGCAATTTTAGCCTGAGAGTCCGTACGGCTATGCGGAGCCTTCAAACCCTCGTTATCTTGGCCCAGACGACTCTCGCTACGGAAAGCTGCAGTAGACTCAGGAATCTGCTCGAGCAGGAGAGACAGGGAGAACCCGATTTGGGAAACGTAGTTCTCAAGTTGCCTAGCAACGCCTCGCACGGCGTTCAGACGATCTTCGAGGGAATCTCCGCGCAATTCAGCCCATTCATCGCCCAGGGGGCTCGTGACAGCCTGACAGCCAAGGACAAAATCGGCAATCGCATCGTAAACCCGTTGTTTCTGTAAACTAAAATCGACCAATTGCGGGTTTTGGAAACTAGTTCCCAAAGGCGCCAGATTGATCGACTCGACAGAAGAGATCCAAGGACGAAACTGCTCGATGACCTTGATAGCAGCGGCGGAGACAGAATCGCCGATTTCATGATGCTCAGCAACCGTGACGATCTTCTTCTGGTTGAGTGACAACCGCTCCTCTAGTCGGCGAATGCTTCCAACAAAAGACCTCCGCAGAATGTCAATATGATCCAAAAGCGCTGCATCGAGTGGCACCGCTGGCTCAGCTCGAGTGTCCCCTCCATCCTGGTCTAAGAACGACGTCGGGCCTGAATCATTGAGAGTGACACCGTTATTCTGCCAGCCACCGCCTGAACAGCTACCTACCACAAAGCCCGGAACGATTCGCTGAATGAAGTCACCACGCTGCTGTCTTGCAATATCGACATAACCATACACTCCTTGCATAACCCCATCTGCCTCTTGTAAGCATTTGTTGACGGAATCCGGACTTGGCCAGTCAGCCGCAGCAATGTGCGATGAGAGCACTAGTTTGGAGAATTTCGACATCATGTCCCTGAAGTGAGGGTACAGAGCCTTATTTGTGGAGATAATCGACGGGTTTCCGGAATGATTGTCCGTGGTATCGGAACCAGCAGCCAGAAGCATACGCAGATGGTCGGATATATCTTCGGCCTTTCTCACGTATTCTGAGCGATCACCGTTCAATAAGGTCTGGCGATAGGCCTCGACAGCATTGCGCATGTTATCAACGAGTAATGGCCACGTCAGGGGGGCCGATGCACCATCGTCGACAAAATGCGAGGGAGCTTCCGAAGAAATAGAAGGTCTGTGGAAATTGTCGGAAAGTGATGTAGTACTGCTAGCGGCGGTTCCAAAGCTGTAAGCCTTAGACAGGCTTCGAAACGAGCTCTTCCCTTCGTTAATCGATTTGGTGGTAGACGGTGGGTGTAAGGAATCCATGGAAGTTGCGGGGGATACGCCGTCGATATAGGACTGCCGTCTCCGAGACATAGAATCCTGAGAAGCAAGCATCAGGGATTCGCCCTCCGCTTCGGACGCGGAGCCATCATAGTCATCCTCGTCTCGTTCGAAACCACGGGCCATTAGTTCTGGGGGAGGTCTAGTCTGGTTGGGCACAAAAAAGGTATTGCGGTCGTAAGGACCTGTTTCGTTCGTAGAGGGGTTTTCGAACGGCAACTCCATGGTGCTGTAGCCGGTGAGAGTGTTGAAGTAGAATAAACGGCCATCGGGGGTCGCTTGCGGAATCCAAAAGGCGGCCTCTTCCTGCTCATTTGAAGGTCCCGTGCCTTCAATAGGCAGTATCGGTTGTGAATCGCGCGAATTTCCTGCAGAGTCAACCTCGTCTTCCTCGCGGTCCTCCTCATACTCCTCCCCAAGGCCAGACTCCGCACTGATGTCTCCATCCTCATGGCCGTTCGATACATGCTCCTCGAGCTCGCTGAGGTCTGTAATAATGGTACAGTAATTGCTAGGGAACCAGCCCCGGACGCTATTGTTGATCACTCCGTCCCACCAGCCGGTCTCCAGTTGGTTCAGAACCTGAATGATATCCCCTCTCCGAAAACTTAGACTGGTATGGTCGTCGGCATCGTAATCATACATGGCCCGCACGAACAGAGTAGGTGCTGGTTCGGGGCTGGGAGTAAAGCGTCCAGTGGCAGTCATCTTGACGGGTGATTGATGTCCTTGAGGCGACTGATCGACACTCTTATCTCGAAACTGGAAAGAGAGGCTGCTTCCACGACTGCGACTCCCGGGGGCAGTCGTGGGAGTAGACACCTGCTCCTCGGTGAATGCAAACGTGGTTGTGATAGTAGTGCCCGTCTTGGTCGCCAGCGCCGATTTAGTGTCGATAACCAATGGCTCTGCCAAGCGGGTGTCGTGCATTCCAATTGACTTTGGTAAATACTAAATAAAATGGGGAGACGGTAAGGGGCGGGGGAGGGAGACAAGATAAACTGGTAATCAGTACGCTACGTCCCATGCGACAAACGGCTGGACGAGCTTAACGAAAGGCGTTGGTCATGACTAGATCGGCAAGTAAATGTCGAAGGATCCGTTAGGAGGGGAATGCGGTGCGGGTTGGTTGCAGAATCACGCTGCGGGAGAAATGTAGTAGGCTATAGTGGGTTCACCGCACGGGTGGTGGCAGGGCAAAAGGCGATAACGATAAAAGTGGCAAGGACACGGTTCGAATGGGCCCCGGATATGGCGTCCAGTGAAGATCTTTTGTTTCAATGTGAGACTGAAAGGAAGAGTGAGTGAAGAACACTGAAAATGTGGAAATCGAAGGGAAAGGAGAGCAAGAGACCGTCCAGGAGAGGAAGAGAGCGAGTGAAAGAGAGGGTCTCAGGGAGTTTTAGGGGAGGTTCGCAACAGTCCGTCCATTCGGGTGGTGGGCAGATGGACTGGGTGTGAGTGGAGGAAAGTGACAACCTGCAATACCGCCTGGTCCGTCCACCGATTACTACTACAGAGAGGAGTACTACCTACTTACGGGAAGTAAGTCTGTAATTTTTCAATACCACCCTCTCTAAATTACCGTACCTGCCCATTTCCTCGTACTCCAATTACCTGTTAAGATACCTAACCTAGTATCTATCTACCCGCGGTTGATACAGCCGGTCAACGAAAGTTAAGAGGGGCACTTTTTGTTCGATTTTTCTTTTATTTCTATTCTTGGCCCTTTTCTCACCTGCATTCAGCTGATAGGGAACAATAATATCGGGCAAGGTGTAGGGATGTACTCTTGTTGGTTGGGGTAGATTTTTTTTTTCCTTCTTTTTTCCTTAAATTTTTTTTTTCGCCACAAACATTCAGCTTGGGGGCTATAAATTGCCCCAAGTCAACGACTGCGCCCCGTGTGTGTAGGCCATTAAGCCTCACGTACGAAGTACCTGGTAGATTACAGGTAACGAAACCAAATAAGGTCGGTACGGAGACGCGGACCAGCAGCCAGCACGAGCCCTCTTGACCTTTTGACTTTACGGGCCATGCATAAACTGTCGCCTTTGATGCGTTGATAGGCGCTTGCTGGTCGCTAAAAAGTCTAACCAGTTCCCCGTACCACAAACACCCAACCTTCATTGCTCCATCTTTCTTAACGGGTCACTCTACGATTTAAAAGCGCGTCTGTAGCCTTGGTTCTCGGAACAAAGAGGCTGGAACCTAGGTGGTTTCGACCGCATTTCCGCTACTCTTGACTTTCGATGATTGGGCTGGCTGTGCAATATATAAAGTTGGGGAAATGGGTTTTTTTTTATTTTTATTTCTAAGGCAAAATGTAGATACTACTCCATATAAAGTTATAAACATGATCTTGTTGTCCATAATACTTGCTTTCCATGCCTCCTTGCAAAAAAGAACAAAACAGTATAGATAAAATACAAATGAGAAAAAAAAAAAATAAAAAGACAGGATCGTCTCCGTAATCTTTGGTATCTGACCGACTTGTATTTTCAACCACTTGTTGTCTCCATTTCCTGTGGAGAATTTTAGCTCGCGTTGCACTCCAAAAATACTCCGCAACAGTCTCGACTGATGGGGACTTTACGAAATGAAATGGGTCTTAGTAGAATCATATATATTACTACGTATTACTTCAATAATTGCCAATACTCACACCGTCTGGACAGGCGGGAGGCACGATTGCACCACCATGGACCTACAAAACCGCGTATTATACCTATAGTCATCCATGAACCTTGAGAGGTCTCGGCCTTATTTGGTAATCCGCTTTCCTATCGTTATATGCATTCTATGCATGAGGAATGCCCTGTGCGTGTGTCGTTCCGGAGGATTAATCACAATTCGATGCGATGTATAGTCCATGATTTGCCTCTTAGGTGCGGCAGGTCGCATGAAGGCACCCAATTCATGATCAACCGCAGTGCCACTCGACATTTTCGGATAGTAAACACCGAGTTGAAGTCGCTCGGGGGGGAATGCTAAGTATCTTCAACTAGGATGATAGGTAGCCGTCCACAATGAAACGGCACATGTTATAAACATGCCAATGCCAATGCCAATGCCAATGCCCTATTAAACTACGCTGATAATAGCTTACTCATACGGGCCCCACACCATCGTTCATCCATCAATCACATATAGAGTTGGCATGCAACCCTCTTCGGAGAAGTGATTATACATTCCTATACACATTATACGAGCTTACCCACGGAACAGAATAAAGTGATGTAATCCTCGGTAGCCCTGAGACTGGAGTTTCGTGTCAATTCCAACGGAACGAAGCCAAGACGGTTTAGGCTGTACAACTTATGACGATACATGCGGCGGATCAGGGGCTTTTAGGATTTCTAGAACTTGTGAGCCTTTACTATTAGTTAATTAGTTAACCTTCTTTGTGTGATCCGCGATAATAATTGGCGGATGAGCAAAGTTTCTGTATCGGGCTTCCTTTCTCGGATCACCTTAATTTTGAGATTCCTGAACATAGTTCAATATCCAATATGCACCACATGTGACCTCCACAACATACTACAAGTAGTTTTCCCCATTGATCATGTCATATACGGTCCAACCCACATTTCCACGGGTTTGAACAGCCGCTATCGATTCGCAGAACCAGAATCGAAGAAGTCCGCGAGTCACTTGACACACAACGCAACGTCAAAGCAAGTCATACCACCTTGCAGGTGAGCTGTCAGACGCCACATAGGGCGATGTTTTGCGGCGTTCAAAGTCGATCCTATTAGATCCAGTCTCCTATGAGCCGTTGCAGATATCCATTTGTGATATATAGATAGATAGGAAGTATCTCCGTATCTTTCCAGCCGGAATCTTAATCCGGTAGCTCAACTACATCCCTGAAATGGAAATTGGATCTCTCAATTTTGGAGAACTGACCCTCAATCTATTCAATCTATAATGGTCCTGTGGTCTCATTCCCGGTTTTCTGTCATCACTCCTTGCCTCCAGACCAACGTTTTGCGTCTGTTGAGGAATTCTCAAGATATGGCATGAAAAGTACCTTCAGGACTACCCCAGTCAGTGTGAAATGCTCACTTCCATTTCTCGTACGTTTAATCATAAATTTCATTTCCACATGGCTTTAATTTCTTGTAAATCCAGAGTAATCCACCATAGATAATGTATACCTAGATCTACGACATCATTCCAAGCCCACCAATTCCTCCCCAGCAAATACACCTTCGATTGCCATCCACCAATCCCCGAATACAACCCTAAATATCATAATATCTCCCCCTCAATCTCCCACCATCCCATATTCCAATACCAAAATAACACCAATAACCCCTCAAACAGCCAAACCCACCCGATCCAAACTCCCAGCACTGACCCCCAAAACCACGTGTTTTTAACGCCGGACCTAAATACACTTTACGCATGGCCTTGTTTCGCATTCACTTTGACACACTGAACCCACGCCATTGACGTATACCGTGGCTGCCCTGCGCAGCTTTGACCTCCCTAACCTTGATACCATGGCATTGTTCCGGTGGTCCATGCGTTATATGTTTGGTTACTGGTAAGATTGGTTGTGGAGAGGGGTTTTATGGGGGTATTGGAATTTTCTTAGATACTGTACTTTTTATTTTTGCAGATTATGGGAGTTGGAAGGGTAGGAGCGTTAGGCTGGGGTGGCGAAGGAGGGTATATCGGGTTTGGTTCAGGGGTGGGGGAAGGATGGGGATACGAGATTTTGGGGCTTGGGTTTGGGTTTGGGGATCTTGGAAGTATGGGAATGGCTATTGAGGGGATTTGTGAGGGAGGGAGGTGTGCGTGGTATCCATCAGGTGGAGATTCTGTTGTGTGGTGAGTCGTATTGCTTGGGGTGGTGTTTTCTGTATCTATATTCTTTCGTTTGTGGACGATGGATGTTGATATACTCTATGCTATAACGAAGGCGTAGATGGTTATTCTTGATCTCACAGAGCCATAGACGTACACTATGTAAGTAGTTATTAGAAAATGATAAACTACACCCTCCACCTCACTGTTGTCGCTTCGATGTAACCCCGTTTCCTTGAGCAGCTTCGTGGATTCCTACCATGGCAGTCTTACTATAAGTTACGAACCGGTCCGAGCCTCGAAGCAACACTACGTACGGAGTATATTAGACCCTATATATCTCTGGCGCCAGGAGTAAGGTACATAATAAAAAGTATCAGAGGCATGGTTGGCAACTTACCTAGGGAGTAGCAGCTCGCAATCATATAAAGAAGTCACACGACCATGTGTTATCCTAATACTATTATCAGAGACACCGTCGGCGTCTAGTCAAATATCTGAGTAGGCATGCATCCTCGATCGTCGTCATCGACTTTCTATATAACTGTGCGCTTCCGTCCTCTGGCGTGGTGGTTGACTATGCACAAGCCCTGGTTCGCTGAGAAACTCATAAGGGTATATTTAATCAAAAGCATGTCCAGATGAAGAACTCGCTATGGCAGACGCCATGGAGAGAATGTCTAACACTAATGCTTAATTTCTGGGGATTTATCAGCGAAATGTTCAATATCATGCATGGTCTCACTGGGTATAGGACATACATTGTACCAGTCTTCAAAGTAGTCGGGGGCTTAGGATGCAGGAGTCTTTGGGTTTGATATTATCTCCCGGTCCAAAGATAGAGATATGCGTTGGTTGTTACTATATATCATTCTATCACTGGGTTGAGCACCACAATCGAGGTGGTCTAATCGAATTATGAATTGACAGGAACATTGGATGAAAATCTGTGGATGGTCAGTACATCGCCGCTATCAAAAGCCGAAAGAAGAATTGAAGAAGAGGCTTTTCTATAGTTGGATGGTGTAGCCCAATTTCTCTTCTACGTGGGTTTCCTTTGAATGGGTGTAGAGCTGGTTATCTTGTATGTCTACTTACTATTCTCAAGAAGTAGAGAAAGCCTTCGTACTAATCTAAATGGACGTTCTCTGTGGACCATTTGATCTTATTAAATGGTTGTTATCGTATTTTGTAGAAGGTATCTAGGATGGCATGGCAAGTCATTGATTGTGTCCAAGGTACAGTGTCACTACACCCTAACCTCAACGTAGACCTTGTATATATATCAATGACGCCGATAGGGCACTGGTTTCCCCTACGTTTGAACTATATCCATTTAACTATTCTCTACTCTTCCAATACTTGCATATGACTATGGACAACCTACCTCAGAGTCCTGATAATGAAGTATAGCCCTGACCTAGGACAATTGTCACCCCAGCACACCATATCAAAACACACAACAGGCCTAAACCGGCCCCTGAGAATATAAAACTCCCATAAAAAACCATAACTCAATAATCCCTTCAAAGCAAGACAAGCATCGGACCCCTCAAAGCCGAAGAAAAGCCCCGAGGCACCCCAAGCAGAACCTGATATACACCGGAATCTCTCTCCTTGCAGCATCCAATATAGAGCTATTCAGCGGCGAGAACTGATAATCCGGCACATATACCAAGATAGATAAAAGACTAGCAAGGGGAATCCCCATCGTGAGAGGGGTGAGGAGGGGGAAAGAGCAAGCCCCTCACATGCAATTGATAATCTCTATCCCACGATGGAGTGAATGGGGCAGGCGAATCGAGTGAGTGCCGATGTAGCCGTTGCTCTACTAACTAATCGTAGATCCCCCTGACGGAAACGACGGCTGCCTAAGTTAGTTACTGAAACTACTACAGGGTTAAAATTGGCTACGGGGCAGTGCTATCTATCTAGTGAGTCCCAGACAAGTGGTCTATTCATAAGGTAAAGATACGGAGAACAAAATCCCCCAAGCTCCGTACAAACCTCAAAGTTCGATAGGTTCGAAGTATACATAAACACCGGAAACATCCACGACGCAACACGCAACCACGCCCATGGGAGCGGCAAACAACTAAGGTTCCCAGGTAACCTAGTAACTCCATCCATGTCTCACACAACACCAGGATCCTTCTCAGGAACAAACCTATCGGACCAAAGAGGCCATCCGATCATCCCGCAAGACTACCCCTTACGAAAAACCATCCCCGTGAGAGGAAAAAAAAAAAAAAAAAAACCAACATACTCCATATACCTTGTCAAGTCCTTCCCCATATAGACAAGCGAGCGAGCATGCATCCGAAATGAACCAGGGAAATTTCGATAGTCTCAAGGCTGAATCAGTGGAACTCTAGTTTGCGCGCGCTCTTGCCCCTCCCCCTTTTTTTTGGCTTTGCTCCGGCCCCCCTTCCCAACTTCCCGGGAGACGACGGTTGGTCCAGAGGTTGTGCCGGATGTCGCAGAATCGACGCCGATGCTCTTCCAGAAGCCTTCTCTGATTCCAATCGGCCGTTTCTGGTGGGGAGTGGGAGACGTATATCGGTGATTAGCGAACCGGTTGGGTGGTGTTGGTGTTGGTGGTTCCGCAGTAGTTACCGTGGGGTGGTTTCTTTTTTTCCTTTTTTTTTTTTACGCGATTACTTGTTTGATGGATCAATAATTGCTTTTGCGTAGTAAATTCTTCACAAGACGGTAATTATTATGCTGTGAAACGTTATGTATGTATGTATGTATGTATGTATGTATGTATGTATGTATGTATGTATTATTATTATTATTATTATTATTATTATTAGCATACTTTGTACATGAGCGAGTAACAATTGGGAAAAGCGGGATACCAGTTGTCTCTCTGAAACATGCAGTAACCACTTCTAAAGATCGAGTACGACTTGCTGAAGGCAAAGAACTGAACGCAAACCTCAAAACTAGACAAATATTGTGAGAACTAGACCTAAAGAGAGAAAAGAAGGTCGTCTTAATATACATCCTGGTAGCTTAGTATATGTAACAGGCATTCTTCTATAGATGCGTGTTCAATATTTGGCAAGCTACACACAAATATATCATTACCCGAAGACTACCCAATCCCACTAGGCGCCAAAAAAGCACATATACAATCAACCATTATTTATCCACCCATGCAAACATATTACGACTTGCGAAGTACACAGAGAATGAGACAAGCGAATGCAGACAGAGTTGGTCTCACCCGCCAACTACAGTAAGACGCCAGATAGCCTGTTGTCCTTTGAAGACAACTTTACGTCTGACATGCAAGTCCCGCGGGTGTGAACCATGGAACGTCACTCGCTCAATTGTGGACAAACGGGTAGATTCCATGGTTCAGCTCTATCAAAAGCTACATTTGAATGCCTTTAGGAAATAGTAACGTGCCACAACATACATTTGGTGAATTAGATGTTTAACTCCAAGGTGTTCTAGAACCCATTAGATAGTGGATATGAATCGCCTTATGCAATGTAAATTAGTTTAGCCTGAGGCAGACTTAGGTTTCGATCCAGGTTAGCGAAGCCGCACAGAAAATGATTGAAGTCAAGGAGTTCCCAAAAAAAAAAAAAAAAAAAAAAAAAAAAAAAAAAAAAAAAAAAAAAAGGGTGAAAAAAGGAACCGGGGTGCGAGAGAAATGTGAGAGAGAAGCTACACTAACTGAAAAAGACTGAAATTGGGCGGCGAGTCCCTACCCTCTTACTCTAATGCTTTTTTTCTTTCGATCTGAAGTGGCTCTGGATTTATTTTCCTTTTTCTCTTGCCCTTACTAACCGGTGGAGACCAACGAAACCAACAGTCCAGTTTCTCACTGCCATGTGTAATATATATAGAAGCGGTCAAGGAATTAACAAAGGAAAAAAAAGATCCCCAACAACGTGCACCATATGGAAAGAATCTACCCAAACTTGATGGCCAGCGCTCACCGACTCCATGGCGATGGCCTGTTTAAGGAATTCCAGACCGATATTCTTTCCCCCCCGCCGGCGAAGGGGGAGAAGGAAGAGAGGGGGATTCCGCTAACCTGCATTTGTTCATATCCAGGAATTCTCACGAAGTTGCCGGGACGGCAGCCAAAAGGCGGTTTGCATGCTACTGATGCTTACTAGTGTAGGGACGGGGTCTCGGGGAAGAGGTTCCTGGAATCCTGCACCGGTACCTGGTGGGGACAGAAATCGGGAGAGATGGAATTTCATGATTCAAAATTTTATTTTCTTTGGGTTTTCCACTCTTTTGGAGCGATCGACTGGCCGTAGATCCCATTATTGCATCTGGGACTATGTGGTTACGTACCGAACTATAGGACCGTAGGGATGATAAAGACGGGTAGCTGCAGCAAATCAACTCGCTTGTTGAGCGCAGGAGAGTCCTCAAGGTTTCCAGCTCTTTCGGATTTTAACTTTGACCATTTTCTTTTTTCCTTCTTTGCCCCTTTCTGGAATGGCAATGAACATGATGAACGTGATGATGATCCAAAAATTAAAGAGAAACAACGAGTGAGTGATAGGCATGATATAAACCACCCGAAGCGAAACCCACCGAATCATTACTGGAATGGGGGGACCACACGCCCGGAGAATATGAGCCTGGACTGGAAATGATCGATCATGAATGGATGGATCGGTATGCACGGAGGATTTTGCACTATTTTTCTTGTTCTGGTCCCGTGCGCGAGCCGAGATCGATAGTGATGGGACGGAGTCCGCAGGCCCTTCAACATCGGGTCTCTCTCTTATCCTGAGGCCACAATTGGATCTGTACAACAAAGCATGCAATATCTATCAATCAATACCGACAGTCTTCGAGAAAGCCGCCATATCCTCGACACAAAACTTAGTTATCCACCAACAGGAACCCATGGCCATCAATTCCGTATCCTGGGCGTTTCTGGGCCGGACCGCTGCATGACCGGGAAGTGGATCGAATAGAGAGAGAGTCAGAGTGAGAAAAAAGAAATCCCGCCAGTTGCCAGGATAGATTTTCGCGAGGGACCGTTCAAGCTCGAAGGAATTTAAGAGGCTGGGCGCATCAGAAAAGGCCGAATAATAGGTTCTTTTGTCTGACCCGAGGCCCAAAGGTCGTTCTCAAAAGAGTAAGCCTGCCGGCTCACCGCTCTCTCCTTCAACAACACTGGCAGATTAAAGCGGTGAAGGTAAGAAAAAAGTACGTACATATATCACTAGTCTTAGTGATAAACTAACGGCTTAGTTATCGGTAAGGTGGAGTGTGGATATATGGGTCCTGCATCAGAAGACCGCGGTGGGTGCTGATTGTCGAGTATCAAAAGTAGGTGGGATGGCGGTGATGCCAGGTCGTGGAGTCTGCGACAAAGCCAGCCCCGTTGAGGGGTAAATCCATTTAACACGCTGAAAGCCACTATCAGGATAGAAAGTATTCTCGTGGAGTATACAATCTGTGTGAACACAAAAGTGACAGTGACGTTGTCGCGTAAGCTACACCGTCCTTGTGGTACTTCTGAAGTCATGTGCGTTACCCTAGTAACTAACCGTGTCTGACGGGCTCCTCGGGTTCCCAACCCCTTCAGTACTGGAGGCCCCACTGGTATGCCGGGATTTTACGGAGTCTTTTTGATTGATTTTCGTACATACTTTATTTCTACAGAACTGTCTTCGTTCAAAATGAAATGGATAATAAAACCATCCAAAAATGTATTCGATCTAATAGTTCGGGCAGACTATAGCCATATAGCAAGTTACCGTCATGACTTAGCTTGTAGAGCCTAAGAAACTTTAAAAATAGGGGGATGAACAAGCACACGGATGCCGAATTAGAGACGATGACACCAGCAACGACTCATCTGACCTGGGAAAGAGAGGGATGTACCCTGTAATCTGTCCCATCGAGTGTGGAGCTCTCTTGGGGGCACGCGGAACGAGGGCGCGTCTCCGAGTGAGGCTGGGATTAGGCGCGATTGCGACTGCTGGCTTGCAGGCAGCCACAACTGACCGAAGCCAACTAATCCGAAACTAAAACTAAACTATGTCCCTATACAGAACCGATCCCCCATGCCACTGATGCAGATGCGATCAGGTATTCAGAATGCACCGTCTGCTTGGATGTTGGATTTCCAAAAACAGTAACAAAACTGTATCTGATGATGTAGTCCTGCAGACGCAAAAGGAAACTTGACCTCACCTGACGTACCGTCTCCTGGAAGACAAAAGACACTGCTCGTTGTTTCAAGCCTAGGCAGTGCAGCTGGATAATATTGGTTACATTATTATGCAGCCTGACTGATTGTCTCAAGTTAAGACTGACCTTGCGGGCAGAGGGAGCTGCTGTTCGGGCCCTATGCTGGGAATGTACACAGGCGAAACTTGCAGCGCCTTGGGTTGTCCACTTCCCTGAGCAGCTGACCTGGAGCTGGAGGGGGCCAAGACCAGAGGCAAACATCTCCTGTCGACACTGCCCTCTGTCCCTATATTCTTCACGGGGAATTTTATTTTATTTCTTTTTCTAAAAAGGTTAAACCACAAAATTAAATTGTAGAAAAATCAAGGCTGCCAAACACCATGCAGAATCTTTTCTAAAACAAAAATACTAAGATTTATTCGTGTATCGTCCAATCTTTCGTGGAGTGGCTGATGATCTGTCAGTCCTGGAGATATCACATCGTTCAATATTCTCCTATTGCTGTGTGATGACGGGTGGCTGATCAGCCAAGCCTACTTCTGTACACATAAGATCTCTGACTTGGCAATGACGACCTCTCAAGAAACATGGAAATTGGTCGGTAAGAAAGACTGCTTGATCACTTCTCCAGAGTTTACTACTCCGTACTGGGCTATACTCCGTAGGTACTCCGCTCTCACGTTTAAGATTAGTTTCTTCGTCATGCCGACATCTGAGGTGAGGGAGTCTGGAACCAAGGGCCGAGCTCGATGTCGAAGATCCACCAGCTTCAAGTTTAGAGGTGCTATTTAGGCAATCAGGTTCTTCTGTCACGCGTTGATTGGATCGTGAGTAGAAGCAACCTCGGTGATAGGCGACCGATTCGTGAATTACCAAATAACTGGGGTTTATTACGTAGGATTACCAGTGCAGCTTCCTGGCAAGGGAACGAAGGAGGGGTTGATCAATCGGTGGATTCGAAGGGGGGGTTTCCCAGTGCCAGAGAAGGGAAGAGGGACAAGAGGGGACCGAGGGGCTGTTAACAGGATAAGTCCGGTGGCGGGTTTAAGAGAGGGGTTCCCATATTGTCAAAGGTTCCCCTCCCAAATTTTAATTAATCGCAAAGATACCTTTATCTGGGGAGGGAAAAAATAATAATAATATTATTTTTTTTTTCCAAAAATTATAATAATAAATAAAAATTCAAGACATCGGAGATGATCTGCAATTATTAATAAAAAAAGTTGAAGAGAACAAGTTGATACATGAGTTGAAGAATGATAATATGGAATGAGGGTCTAGACAAAAATAAAATAAATATAAAATAAATATTCAACGAGAGTCTGTGTGCGAAGAATTTCGCTGGTGGAAATGAAAGGAGGGAACACACAAATCAGGTCGGCAAGCGCACACTTCCGTGGCATTTGAAGCTATTCGATCCTTGTTGGAGGGGCAAGGGGGGG